AATTAATATAATTAATATGACGCAATATATATACATTATTTTAATATACAGTATATTTACATGCTTAATAAGTTTATAGACAATGTACAGTTAAAGAATAATGATCTTAAAGTATATGGACTAACGCAAAACATCGCAACAAATGAGTATATGTTGGTATTTGATGAATTTTATAATAAAAGAAATTATAACTATGGAGAATGTGTAAATTGCAAGCGAAATAACACGTCAACAACTTGGTGCCAAACATGCGACCCTCAGAAGACAACACAAGGATGGACAAGTGGAAATAAGGATATCGACGAATGTATTAAAGAATTTCAACTTAATGCTACAAAATACGAAGATGTAATCGAATGGATTCCTTTTAATAGTTTAGCTAATATTCAAAATATTGGAGATAAAATTTCAGCAACCTGGTTAGATGGAATACGATATGTATATGAAAATGATGTTGGATATGAAATTACATATACACAGTCACGCATACCATCATATAAAGTGGAACTTAAAATATTGACGCAATCACGAAATTTAGTAAATGTTTTAAAAGAGATAAGACTATGCTTTTGCTACTTACGTATACTATTTACGTTTGCTGCTGTACTTTCAAGTTTATTGTTTCTAATCATTCTAATCAGTGACACGTATAACGATAACTCGTATAATGATAACACACGATAATACGTTACTAAATTAGTTTTTAAGTATATTATAATTACAAAGGTAGAGTCCGGTAAATAATAAACAATATACTTGAAAGCTTGCAGCATCCATATTATTTATGACCTTAATTTCTTATATCTTTTATATCTTTTACAGTTTAAAAATCATGTGTTATCTGAATGTCAAATAGAGCGTATAAATATTTGTGGATTAACTCAAAACACTATCACAAATGATTATATCTTAGTATTTACTGAATTTGATAAGTTTAGTTCTAAAAGAAATTATGAGTATGGACAATGTGCAAATTGCCACCGATATAACACATCTAAAGCTTGGTGTCAAACATGCGACCCTCAGAAGACAACACAGGGGTGGACAAGTGGAAATAAAGATATTGATGATTGCATTAAAGAATTTCAACTTAAAGCTACGAAATACGACGATGTAATCGAATGGATTCCTTTTAATAGATTCGTTAATATTCAAAACATTGGCGACAAAGTTTTAGCAACGTGGTTAGATGGAATACGATATGCAAATTGCGAATATAATGGTATCAAATCTAAATATAAATACAAATACACACAGTCATGTTTACCAACATATAAAGTGGAGTTTAAAAGATTAAATAGAACACAAAGGTTATCAGATATGTTAAAAGAAGTAAGCTAAAATATTAATAATTTATCATTGTTACACTATACATATAGATTTAATATATATTTGGAATTTTAATAAGTTTACAGATTATGCACAGTTAAAAAATAGTGATCTTAAAGTATATGGACTAACGCAAAACAGCACAACAAATGAGTATATGTTGGTATTTGATGAATTTGGTTCTAAAAGAAATAAAGATAATGGATTATGTACAAATTGCAAGCAATACAAAACATCCCCAACTTGGTGTCAAACATGCGACCCTCAGAAAGCAATGCAAGGGTGGACAAGCGGAAATAAGGATGTCGACAATTGCATTAAGGAATTTCAACTTAAAGCTACAACATACGAAAATGTAATCGAATGGATTCCTTTTGATAGATTAGATAATGTTCAAATAATTGGTAAAGGGGGATTTGGCTCTGTATTTTCCGCAACGTGGTTAGATGGTAAAAGAACAGTTTCAGGTAAAATGCAATCGCGTACACCATCATGCGTAGTTGCGCTTAAGACTTTACCTGGTTCACAAAAGAATTTTTTAAAAGAAGTAAGATGATTATTTATGATCTAATATAAGTAAACTATAGATAAACTATTAACATTATAAATTTTATTTCAATTAACAAGTTTAAAAGTTACTCTGAATTTAGATTAGCGGGCAATAATCTTGAAGTGTATGGACTAACCCAAGACGCAGATAATAACGAATATTTGATGGTATTTCAATATGCAAATAGAGGAAGTCTTCATAAATTTCTATCTTTAAATTTTAGAGATCTTAATTGGAAAAGTAAATTAAAGCAGCTTGTCGATATATCTGAAAATTTAATACGTGTACACAGAGCCAATTATGTTCATGGAGATTTCCATAGCGGGAATATTTTGCAAAATCAATATGTTAATGGTGATCTGATATCTTATATTACTGATCTAGGATTATCTAGAAAAAAGGATGATTCTAATTTGGAAGATGGTATTTACGGCGTTTTACCTTATGTTACGCCAGAAGAGTTAAACAAACAACCATATACAACAGAAGCCGATATTTATAGTTTTGGTATTATTATGTCTGAGATGTCTACGGGAAGACCTCCTCATTATTATATCGAGTATGATGAAACGTTGGCTATTCAAATATGTAATGGATTACGTCCTGAATGTGCTAAAGGCACTCCTGGATGCTATATCCAATTAGCAAATCAATGTATGAATGCTATTCCTTTTGATAGACCAACTGTATCTGATATACAGAAAAAATTATCAATATGGTATAATATATTATATTTTAATAGTGCGCAGAATATAGATGAATTAGCAATATTAAAAGCATTCCAGTCTGCGGACGCAGCTATTCCAACATTATCAACAGAATTGCCAGTTTGTCCTAAAGATAAACTTACAAGTAAACTGCTCAACTTTAAAAATCTTTCTAAGCAAATTAATTCTTCATTTATTTCACCTACAAAATCGTCAAAAATTTACGGTAAATGATTTTTACTCGTACTACATAACTTTAATCGATTAAAGTTTTTTACTTTTTAATCTTCTTTTAGATTCTACTACTCTCGATTTTTCAATGCCCGATGATGATTGTTATGATAATATTTCACGTATGTGTTAATAATTCAATTTACTAATTTATAACGATAAGAATATTGATTGGTCTATTTAAATATCTTGTCTCTATAGCCAATAATGGCAATTTTATTACAAGCCATGAATGAATTTATTTAAATTATTTATTGCACAATTATTTTGCATATATATATTTTATGCGACATTAGAACTAGTAAATTTAAGTTTATGGTTATATTAACTGGACCAAAGAAGTAAAGTTTTACTCAAAAATTTATATAAGATCATAGAAAGGTAATTCCTTGGTTTTTACACAGTAACTTTGGAATCCTAAAGTAGTTCTAACCACCTGGTTTTTTTAAACCGAATTTTATATAAAATTTTTTTTATTTAAAATATTTATTTTCACTCTTCACAATTTGAAGTTTCTTTGAATTCATGCGACATACGTACGTATGTTTGACTAATAATTCTCAACTAATCCACATACTGTGTATCATTACAGCCTGTAAGAATTTTTTTCTATTAGATAGAATGCTATAATTGTTCCATAAGGGTTTGAGTAACATCACTAGTTCAGAGCTATTCTCATAAATTCTGGGACAAACTACAACTATTCTCATAAATTTTACATCGCTGTCTCTGGCTGAAGATAGCGATGTACTTTCCGGTAGGTTAGAAAATTTACAGGATGAAATCGAAAAGATTGTTTGTCCCGAGAGCAGCTGTAAAAATTTACTTGTTACCCAAGATTTTTTGGTTTCGTCATCTAACTCTGGAAATTACATCGTTATCTTCGAGCTTTCAGTCCGGAGACAGATATAATTTCCAGCGAACTAGGCAATTTACAGAACAAAGCAGAAGATGTTTCGTGTAATGAGTATATTTTTATTCTGTCCCAGAATTTATGAGAACGGCTAGCACCGGAGGAAGATCAAGACATAGACATGTTACTCAAAATTTCGTCTATGTAACCATCTTCTGCGCGTTAGTAAAAAAATTTCTTGCAAAATTTTAGTATAAGACAAGTATCTTTATAATTATAAACCTGAACCTAATGTACCGTTTTATGACTTTAAGAAAAATATCGATCAGTGAAAGTCTGTCGGTGCCACTGGGGTAGTTGACATGTTACAGGAGGGAACTTGATCCTTCACCCAGTAAGCAACATACAAAAAAATTACATGTTATGATTATAATCCAACACCATCTTAATTATAATAAAATGATGTTGGATTATAATCATAACATGAACTAGCGGTATCGTAAAATAAATTTTTTTATATGTTGCACACTGGGTGTCGACATGCCCTCCTCCTTGATTTTACGTTACACTCGGATTTAATTAGGCTAGGGCATTTATGCACACTATATGCTGTACTTCTATTTTTTTAAGAGTCCTCTATCTCTATTGCTATCCAAGTGAAAAAAAATGAGAAACTCAATCATTTACCAAAAAAGCTCAAAAAATTTTTGAAAAAAGGTGATGCTACCAAATTCGAATATCTGAGTACAACAATATAGAAAAAATTGGAGTAGGTAAAGTCATTTAGTTTATTTTTTATAAACACAACATAATAAACTGACATTTATGATAAAATATTACAAAGTGGATTTAGTTCTGTTTATTCGGCAGACTATAATGGGGAAAAATTCGCATTGAAAAAAAGTATTGTCATTCCCAAGGAGATGAAGAAGTGACCAAAGAATTTATTATCGAGGTTATGCGTTACTCGTTAAATTTCAATGCCTAGTTTTTGTTATCTAAATATAATATTATTTATAGCTTAAACTATTACATTCTGTGAATCTCCTTCCCAATTTTCAATTCAGAATTACATATGGTATTGTAATAATATATTGTACGCGAAATAAATATTCTTTAAATAAAATTTCTTAATTATGGCTTAATTAGACCCTGAAGCGAATAAATTCTTTCAAGTACTACGTCCAACAATAAACGAAATTCTCGAGTATCTTAAAGAAGAAACAATACGATTTATTATAAATCGCAATAAAAAATCTATACCTGTCTTAGACGCAATGCTTGTATTAGATGCAACAAAAGAATTTATGCCTATTTTAGATGCAACACCTGTCTTAGACGCAACAGTCGCAACAACACCTGGTTTAGATGCCTTCGATGCAGCATTAGATACAACAGAAGAACTTACACCTGTCTTAGATACAACAGAATCAAATATTTCCCGTCATTCGAAATGGTTCGAACAAATAAAAGACAGCCAATTATGGATTTTCTGAATTTGAAAATAGAAATGTAATTGGAAAAGGTAGACTTCCTTAATTTTTAGACATTAATTAGTACGATTAACAATTTATTTTTCTAATGTTAAATACACTAGGTGCATTTGGTGTTGTGTATTCTGTAGAATATAATGGGAAAATGTTCGCATTAAAAAGCCTTGACAATGATAATGTGAATAAAGAAGTGTCTAAAGAATTTATTAAAGAGGTAATAAGTAATTTAATTTTCCAATATCCAGTCATCGCTGTTCAAATCATTTAATCTCAATATTATTTTATAGCTTAGACAATTATATAATATTAGTCCTAATCCTAACGTTAACCAATTCCACAGAATTACGCATGGTATTATATAATGCATATCAGATATCGCATGCTTAAATAAATGTATTATTTAAACAATATTTCATGACATTAATTGTTATTAGATCCAGAAACCAATAAATTCATGTTGGTACTACAATTTGCTAACAGAGGGCACTTGCGACAATATTTACAAAATAAATGGCATGATGGCACTTATATGATAAAATTAGATAAAATTATAAAATTTGCATTACAAGCTACTTCCGGGTTGGGTTACTTGCATAATAATCATATAATCCATTGCGATTTAATAAGTATTGATTTATTTATTGTTTTGATTGTTGATTATTTTAATTTTTAAATTAATCGTAATTGTTTAATAATTTTATTAAGCATCCTAAAAATATCTTAATAAATGACGATCAACTATTAATTGCGGATTTCGGGCTATCAAGAAAAATAGATGATAGTTATTTCTCTTCGACTTCAAGTTCAAAAGGAGCGCCAGCATATCTTGATCCATATTGTTGTTGCCAACCTGGGAAAAAACCAGATGAAAAATCAGATATTTACAGCTTAGGAGTAATATTTTGGGAGCTTACAAGCGGAGTTCCTCCATTCGCAAATGCTATTAATAATTTGGTCATACTTTTTCAAACATACAGAGGTTATCGAGAACAAGCAATTCCCGGAACACCAGCAGAATACGCTAAACTTTATGAGAAATGCTGGAACGCTGAACCGAAAGAACGTCCAACAATAAATAAAATTCTTGAAAATCTTAATTTAATGTCAAAAGGCAAAACAGATCGACTTATTATGAATAAAAAACAGGGAACTTATACAAGCAGTCTCAATTCTATAGTCAACTAAATTTATTTGAAAAACCTTTTAACTAAACGTCAAACACGATACCTTTCAGAAATATAAAGAATCATTTTCGTCCTACTTCTGATGATTCTTAGCTAAATCATTAAAACATTAAAAACGTATTTTTTCGGCAATGCGAAGGAACTTAAGTCCCAAGGACAAATTAAGAAACTATAAAAAAACTTTGAATACTTAAGCTAGTCATTTATACGATGCTGATGCGCTGATGTTTCAAGGGGAAACTTATTTAAGTTAAAAAAAGATCTATCGCTTATGATCTTAATAAATCATTAAATCTTGTGCCAATATCTCAAGGACAATTTTATTACATTAAGAAATTATAAAGAATCTCTCGAACATCTAGGCAAATCATCCACATTAATCTATATGATGTTGATGTGAAAATATCGATCGTTTATGTCATTAGATCTTGCGCCAAATAATATAGTTGCACTAATATCTCAAGTATATAAGTTCTATATGCTAAATAAATACGAATAATCTCTAACAAAAATCATCAGAAATTGATTAAAATAATGAAAATTTCGCTAAAATGTTGGATCGCAACGAGAAAGCGCATATTTATTTAGACGAGCTGTTACAATTAAAATAAAAAAGGATATTAAGATCCTTTCAGAACTTGAAAAGGTTATATTAATTATGGGCATCAAATCACTACATAGATTATCTGAACTAATAAGATTTATTTATTAGCATCTGACGCAGCATGAGGGACATTAAATAATCATTTAGATCACACTGTAAAAGAAATATCCAAAGGTGACTGAGAACAATTAATAATTGTCGCGACTGAAGCTTGAAATCAGAAACCTCGATTTAAAATTTTAAACCCTATCAAAAATCTTTTATACTCTTTTATTATCAAAACTAACTCTAAACTCTAATCTAACTATTAAAAAAAAGCAAAAATTGCACCCTAAAAATTTCTAAAAATTTCTTATTAAAATAATTAAAATTTCAAGCTTCAGTCACGACAATAATTATGAAAATTATCTTGGAAATTGACCTGACCATTAATCTAGGTAATTTAAAAGCATCGAGATTTCAAATATGAAAATACAAAGATGGTGCTGTTAATAAATTCTGCATTGAAAATAACATTATATTACTATGTTTCTTAAGTTCCCAAATGTTGCTGCTGATATTTTTGACTAAACTTTTTTATTATTAACATTATTTTTTTTATATATAGACGTTTAATAATGCATTTTGTCAATAAAAATTAAATTTAACAAGAAATTTATGTTGATTAAATCTTTTTATATACCGTATATAAACACAAATTCTTTTCTTAATTGAGTATGTTGTGTGTGAAATTATAATAGGTGTAAGTTTAAAACTGAGTTGTGCCAGATCCAAAATAGCATATTTACATCAAACTTAAATTAAGGTAATTTATACAAATGACGCTTACATATGCGGAAATCTCCAGTTGAAACACAGTGATTATTAAAAATTAGGTACATACATACCAGAAATTTGTAAGTATAAAATTTATAAGTAATTAGCGTTAGGTCACAATTATAAGCATCAGGGTACAAAATTTTAAATACCAATCTAAAAATTTTGCCTTCTGCGTACTAACAAAAAATTTTCCTCGAGAAATTTTACTATAACGTAGCCCTTTAAAATAAATACTAACTTACTGGTGGGACCCTAAACCTAAACTAATTGCAAAATGCTTTCTTCTCAGCGAAATTTTTAGACTGGCATTGCTAATCATAGTGTGTAAATCACATTTCTAATCGATGACCTTTAATGACGTGATGCATTACGGCGAATCAAAGAACAAGATTAGATGTAAAATAAAAATTAAAGAAATAATCGCTTATTTTTGAAAAGGCTTGTTTATCTCAAAATTTCGTCTAAGAAATCACCTTTTGCTTACTAACAAAAAAAATTACTTGTAAGATTTTGCTATAATATTATCTATTAATTCTGACATTAATCTTTCAAGGATAAAATGGTATGTAATTTGGAGCGAATAATTTCAGCCAATAGGAACTTGGAGAGAAAATTAGTAAACCGTAAATTTATGAGTAAAATTCATAAGCGATTCATTATCGGGCTTACAAAAAATCACTTTTATACTCAATAATCATTCCATATCACATAAATGGTTTGATTTATGGCGGTTTGTAATAAATTCAATTTAATTATTTAATTTTACATTATTTATACAGTTTAGAGTACTTTTTAAAAAAACGAAAACCAACCATAATAAAGTAAAAAAAAAAAACCATATAGAAGATCTCATTAGAGCTGTATGACTCTATAGTCAAAAATAAGGTCTAATTCTCGTCCGTTTAAAAAAATTAGCTTATAATGATTATAATATATAAGTTTATCGGCATTATAAGCACGGGTATTAGAGTTAATTTATCGCGATTTGCAAAATTACTCAACAATCGCAATTGCAATCACAATCGTTCTTAAGTTTGTGCGAAGGTATCTCGACAACCACTTGATTAATTTCAATGAATTTTATTTTTACTTGAATTCTATGGATTCATAAAATTCAAATAAAAAAATTTTATTGAAATTAATCAAGTGGTTGTCGAGATATCTTCGCACAAACTTAAGAACGATTGTGATTGCAATTGCGATCGTTGAGTGATGTCATCACCCCCTTAAGACAATAATTTTGCAAATCGCTATAATATATGATCTACATACTACATAAATTGCATTTTTGATATCTATATAACTTACTTGCTCTAAATGCATCGAAAGGGTAACCTTAAAACTCATTCCGCTTTTAACCGACCACATAGCGGGGCGTCGTACGGCGAAGATCCAAATCGGTCACGTTTTCCGGGTCTATAGGTATACTTGCTGGACAAATCTAAATCCCAAACTCTCGCCAAATTAATATCTTAAAAATTTTATTACTAATCTTCATTTAAATAATACTATATATTCTTATGGTCATGTATAATATATCTGCGAAATTTAAAGGTTATTTTTTTGATTCAATTTTTTATAAAGGATGATCTAATTGTAACAACCTGTTACACTCTTATTTGTAGCAACTCAATTAGTACAACCAATAAAAATAACTATTTCGTATAACCAAAACCCTAACTCTAACTACTATTGGCTAATCAGAGGTTGTTACGTGTAACAGGTTGTTACGAGAACATTTATTCTTTTATAAATGCTATTTATTTTTTTTTAGGGTTTGGGATTTGTCCGGATTTGTCGGTTAGATTTGGAGAGTGGTGTGTTTGTGATCATAGGTATTATAATGTAGCGAAAGCAGGAAAGTATTAGGGTCAAATTTTATTACAAACACCAACTACTCATCATGTAGGACTCAAAGCCTTTATTATATATTGTTCTATTACATATGCGCTCCTAAAGTTATTAAACATATTAAACATATTATCTAACGCATACTCGTATATTACTTAAAGCCCTTAATTATTATATATCCATTTAATTATAGTTTTCTCTTAAAACCCTTATTGCCGCTATTACCCTTAATGACTTTTACGACTGATAATCTCGGGAAACCCATTTTAGGTAGATGGTCGACATACGTTACTGCGCCACATCAAGCATCACTTCCACGTGCTTCCGGGATCACGTTTCCACAGCTCACAACATATATACATATGTATGTTTGTACGTACGTTACTACAAACGATGATTAATTTCTTTGTAACATAGAATTATGGAATTTAGTTCTAAAAGTATGAAGAATATGGAAAATGTGCAAATTGTAAACTATATAACACATTTTTAGCTTGGTGCCAAGCATGCGACCCCCAAAAGATTGTGCAAAAATGGACAAGTGGAAATAAGGATGTCGATGATTGTATTAAAGAAATTCAACTTAAAGCTACGTCTTATGAAGATGTGATCGAGTGGATTTCTTTTAATAGATTAGCTAATATTCAAAATGTTGGCTATGGATTTTTAGCAACATGGTTAGATGGAATACGTTATGTAAATTGTAATAAAAATGAAGAATATGAATATACACAGTCACGCACACCGGCAAGCATAATTACACTTAAAATATTGACAGGAGATATTCAAAATATTTTAAAAGAAGTGAGTTCATATCATTTTATTATCGTTATCGTTATTTAATTAATATATTTAATTTATACTTATGATTATACTTATATTGTTTATTTGCGTATTTTATAAGTTTAAAAATCATGTGCAATTAGATAGTCAGTTAGAGCATAAACCGCGTATACATGTCTATGGATTAACTCAAAATGCAATCACAAATGAATATATGTTGGTATTTGATGAATTTGGTTCTATAAGAGATAACGTGTATGGAAAATGTGCAAATTGCAAGCAATATAATACATCACCAGCCTGGTGCCAAACATGCGACCCTCAGAAGACAACACAAAGATGGACGAGTGGGAATAAAGATATTGCTGATTGCATTAAAGAATTTCAACTTAAAGCTACTTCTCATAATCGTGTAATCGAATGGATTCTTTTTAATAGATTAGTTAATATTCAAAATGTTGGCGATAAAGTTTTAGCAACATGGTTAGATGGATTACGATATGTAAAATATGACAATAAAGCTGAATATGGATACAGTTATACACAGTCACGTATACCGACATATAAAGTGGAACTTAAAACATTAACTAGAACACAAAGTTTATTAGATATGTTAAATGAAGTAGGTTAAAGTATCTATCATTGTTACGAAATATATAGCTTTATTTTAAATATACAGTATATTTACATGCTTAATAAGTTTATAGATTATGTACAATTAAAGAATAATGATCTTAAAGCATATGGACTAACGCAAAACAGCACAACAAATGAGTATATGTTGGTATTTGATGAATTTGGTTCTAAAAGAAATAAAAATAATGGACATGTGCAAATTGTAAGCGATATAACACATTCTGTGGTTGGTGTCAAACGTGTGACCCTCAGATGACAATACAGGGATGGACAAGTGGAAACAAGGATATCGATGATTGCATTAAAGA